TCCATCCCAACAAACAGCCAGGCTTGGTTGGCAATCGTGGGCAAGGCCAGCCCAAGCCAAACCTCAAGCTTTGTCCCTCCAGGACAGAGGCCGGCCTGGGAAGGAGGGCGCTGTGCCCCTTCCGCCGGGTTTCAAGGGTGGAAGAGCTCTTTTTTTGGGTGGGGGGGGAGAAAGGATGGCACTCATGGGGTTAATGGCACTGGGACTGAAAGCCGCAGCATAACAAATTCAGGCTCCAGTGCTCGACTAGACCTGAGTGAACGGATCCGTCCACTTTGGTTTCTCTCCCACCCTTCACTCCCGGCCAGTCCAAAGGCCGCCTTCTCACGCCCGAGGTTTGCGAAGGCACGCACCTCGTTCATCAGAACGGAACTGCGGCGAAATCTGCTAGCAAGCTGGGGCAGGCTTTAACTTTTCCTTTTGTCCCAAATGTCCTCTGGGTCCAGAACCAACCTGCCAGCTTGACTGCCTGCCTGTTCCCCCCCCCAATCCTGGAGAACACAGTTTGGGGGGGGGACCTCAAAAGCAACCCATTTTCTTTCCATGGACTGGGACTTGGGGTGGCCGGGGGGGGGGAGAGAAACCCGGAGCACAGAGAAGTACCAACACAGCCTCTCTCCCTCTCTCTCTCCTTCTGAAACCTTGCGAGCAGAGGAAGCCACCAGGCCTCTTGCTCATATTCACAAAGTTCCGCCCCCTGGGCGCCTTGCACGAGCGTAATCCCCTCCCTTCCTCTTCCCCCCCCCCCACCCTTCTTCCTGCCCTCTCGGGATCACTCACCCTGATCTGGTTCCGCAGCTGCTCTGCTTCCTGTCTCAGCTGCTCCAGTTCACTCATGATCGGTTTCGGCTCAGGGGGCCGCGGCCTTCAGCCCCACTCGGTTGGTCCCGATCCTGCCAGGAGGGGGAAAGGCAGTGTTACTCACGGGGTGAGGGTGTTCTCGGTGCTTCCTTCAGTGGATGGCCACCAGAAAGGGCCAGGAAGGCAAAGAGGAGGCTGGCAGGCAAGCAGGCACCCGGGCACCTGGGAGAAGAGAACCAGCTTTTAAGGCCCTTGTCTGGACTGCTACTGCAATGCTGTCTGTGGGGCTGCCCTTGGGGGCGGGGGGGAGGGAGAAAAAAAAATCCTGACTCAGGCAAAGAGAGAGCTGGCTGGGATGGGCGGCTAAGACAACGGCAGGACCCCACGGCTTTGCCATCTCGGCAGCTGCTATTCGGTTTTCTAAAACAACAACAACAACAACAACAATTCCTGCCGAGTGTTTTCATGTTTGGCAACTTATTGTTCTTGACCGCTCAGAGCCATGTGGTCCACGGGGCACCAGGCTGGGCAACAGCTTCCGAAAGAGCCCAGGGATCCCTGCCAGCAACCCCGTATCACCCCACAGGCTGCAATCTCCAGACCGGTGGATCCCAACTTTTAAATCCAAGGAGACCCGCCAGGTCATTCTCTCAATTCCTCTTCAAGGCCCCCAGCACTGGGAGTGCTCACCACCTCCTCCCAAAGTCATGGTCTCCCTTGTCCTACAGCTCTAACAGTTAAGAGGGTTCCCCCCCACTCCTATTCAGCCGAAATCTGGCTTCCTGACGCTTGAGCCCATTATCCTGGGTTCTGAATCCTGTTTGGCACAACCGGGCACTGAGGGTGGAGGGCCCTCCTCCTGCGCAAAACAACCCTGTATTTCCGCCCAGCCTCCCTCTCCTGCCCAGAACGGTCCCTCCTGGAACGCCTTCACACAGCTCCCTTCCCATCCCATTGAAAATGGCTTCCAAGCCACCTTTCCCAGAAGGACCACCTCTGGGTCCAATTCCTCAGGCCAACCTTGCCTGAGAGGGCGTTCAGCAGATGTGCTAGCTTGCCACCCCCCGTCACAGCCCAGCCAGCATGGCCCCTCCATCAAATGGGAATCGTAGTCCAATACCACGCCCAGCACCCCAGGTTAGTGGAGCCGATCGTGAGCAAAATCCTCGGGACCTGCACCAGAAACATGTGCCCTACCGCCTCCCTCATGGATCGCAGCCACCACAGCACCCAGGCTCCTTGGCTGCCTTCCCCAAAACAAACTTTAATTTAAAACTGTAGTGTCCTCAGGGCAGTGACCTGATATTCTGAGGTCTGACAAGTGCTCCACACGCACAGATGGACACTGTACCCAGGCCAGACAGAAGCAGTGGGTCTGTAGCAGTTCACACTGGGCCATGAATATTGGAGGCTTCCTCCGACTTACTTCCTAATCCTCCCCCTAAGGAGCTCAAAATGGCATGGATGGCTCTCCTCTCCTCCTCCCCTTAATTTTTACAACCCCCCCCCATGAGGTGGGTCAGGCCAAGAGTGGGTGGCTGGCCTACGGTCGAAAACCACGGAGCCCTTTGCCATGTGTGCATGCTGGGCGTTTGGATGCATGAAGCTCCAGGCGTACATACGCGCAGCATGCAACCTTTAAAGCCCCTCCCTCGAATTAGGCAAATATCTTCACACACACACACCCGAAACGCCCCCAAATGCAAAAGCGGAAGGGGGTCAAGGAAAGAAACCAGTTCCTGGCAGGAGCTGGCTCCTGAATGGTGGCCGAAATCTCTCT